AAGAAAGTGGTCTCCTTTTACCCTTGTCCAAAGAGTCTGTCTGAGGCAAAAGTGAAGAGTTTTGGATTCATTCCATTGTCAGAGGACATCCCCCAATCAACCTTATAGACTGTTTTTTTGTATTAGTGGTTGTTGGGGAAGTCTTATGTCAATAAAGCACTATTGAGCCAATAGGAATCTAGATAGGTGGGACTAGGAGTCCAGGAGGACTCTGGAAAGGAGAAACACAAGAGAGTTCAAGATGTGACGCCATGGGGTAGGAAGCCCGGAAACTTCTCCGGTAAGAGATGTACTTAGATTAACAATTATGAGGTAATTACTTAAGTCAGAGCTAGCCAGTAAGAAACAAACAAGGCCAACAGCTTCATAATTAATATAGCCTCCTGTGTGTTTATTTGGGACTGATGTGGCTCTAGAACCAGGCTGGCGGGAAGGCTTCTCTCAAGGAAAAAGCTTCTCTTTACAAGTGGTAGTTCTAATGAAGATTTATAATAAAAGGGAGCAAGCTGAACAGGCTAAATTACAAAATGTAAAATGTAAGGAGAAAAGGAACACCAAAACATGGAATAAAGCTAAATCCTGTGTTCAAGGAGATGAACAGATTAAGAAATAGAATAAAGTGAGTGGTGACCTACTAAGGGCAAGGTCCCACCCACTTAAGTTTCCAACTTGTGATAAAGAACTAAAGAAAAGCTGAGAGCCAGGTGACATAGTGCATATCTTTAGTTCCAGTACTCTGGAAAGCAGAGACTGGTAAATTTCTGAATTTGAGGCCAGTCTGATCTAGAAATCGTTTCAGGATAGCCAGCTTAGTTAGTGAATGACAGAAATCTGCTGAAGATGTAATTGAGTGAACAAGGGGCAGGGGAAGGGGGAGGTGTTGTAGCCCAGCAAACCAGCAGAACTTGGCAACTTTGACCACGTGTTTCTAGATTTAAGGATAGAAGAAAGGTGATGGAATTTGTTCCCAATATTAGTGTTGGTCAGGCATATGTTAGGGGTGTACCTGAATGGAGGCCAAGGGAATCCATTGCTTGAGGCTGAGAAGGTGAAGCCCTATATTACCCTGGAGACCCAAGATGTTGGAGGTGCCAGAACCATGGGATACCTGCGGAGGAGAGCTGGTAAAAGGGAGTGGAACCAGCCCAAGAGAAAGAAGTGTGTTGCAGTCAACAGAATTGAATGGAGTTGGATCTGAAGAGTGTTTTGACATTAGACAGGGTTTGGAGTTTGCCCAACTGTTTTTCAGTCTTGCTTTGGTCCGGTATTTCCTTATTATGCTTCTCTCCCTATGTTTTGGAATGGTAATGTATACATTATGTGTTGGAAGTATGTGATTTGCTTTTTGCTTTTATTTTATAGGGGATTACAGTTAAGAGATTGTATGAATCTCCGAAGAGACTTTGTACTTCAGATTTTTAAATAAATTTACGACTGTTACATGAGATGATGGGCACTTTTGAAGTTGAATTGATTGCATTTTTGCATTATGATATGGCTACAAGCCTTTGGGGGCCAGAGAATGGAATGCAGTGGTTTGAAAGAAAATGATACCCAATGGGAGTGGCACGGTTAGGAGGTGTGGCCCTGTTGGAGAAAGTGTGTTACTGTGCAGGCAGGCTTTGAGATCTCATATGTTCCAGCCACACCCTATGAGACAGACCACTTCCTGTTGCCTTCAAGTCAAGGTGTGGGACACTCAGTTTCTTCTCTAGTACTATGTCTGCCTGCATGCCACCATGTCCTGCCATGGTGATAAAGAACTAAACCTCTGAAATGTAAGCTGCAACCCCAATTAAATGTTTTTCTTTATAAGAGTTGCTATGAGCCGGGCGTTGGTGGTGCACTTGGGAGGCAGAGGCAGGTAGATCTCTGTGAGTTTGAGGCCAGCCTGGTCTACAGAGCGAGTTCCAGGACAGCCTCCAAAACAATACAGAGAAACACTGTCTTGAAAAACAAAACAAAAAAAAAAGAGTTGCTATGATCATGATGTTCTTCACAGCAATAGAAACCCTAACTAAAACAAGAATTAATCTTCCTTTTCTCCAGTATTGAAGAGTATCCTTCCTTCTTTCTAAAAATAACTTTCTTCTTGAAGGTTGCCCTGGCCTAAGATCCCATTGTCAGGTGTCCTGTCTCTGAGTCTCTTGATGCTTCTTTTAGCACTTTCTCTCCCTTAGAAATTCCTTTCTGTCTGTATGCAGCAATACCACATTGTTTTTCTTTTTCTATCTTTAAGGCCTGTTTTTTATTGCACAAGCCTAAGCTCCCCCCATATTTGTCCTGTTTTTTAATTTTTCTAATTTTTTCTGTTTTTTACCCATCTTTACCAATTCTCAGCAACCCGAGTCACTTTACCAAGTTTAAAACCAACATGTAGTTCTAGTAGCATTTTTGTTGAAATTATATTGAATTTCCTAATTGCGTGGGTAAGAATGGTTATGTGTAATGTTGAAATTTAACTTGAGTAACTCTTTGCTGTTATCAGTTATATTCATTGTAGTTTCTCATGTCTTTTATATTCACAAATCTATAAGGTTAGTACCTGAAATACTGATGAATCAGTAAACTGACTTGATTAAGTATCCAATTCAGATCACCTCTGAGATACTGTTTCTGTAATAAACACTTTTAAAATGAATGCTGATATATCATTTTGTGTGTACCCTGTGAAGTGTGAGACTACTTTTGTGAGTACTTAGAGTTGTGCTTTGGATGTTCAGGCTTAGCCTGTCTGTTCCATCAGGGAGCTACTATTATAAGATTTACTTAAAATAGATGGCTACTTTTTTCAGGAGAGGTAGTTTCAATTCTATTCATTCAAGAACATGGTTTTAGAAGTCCTTTGTTTTGCTTATTCCCACTTTCAGAAGCCTTCATCATTTACTTTTGAATCTTCTGGGCTTAGAATAATTTTTATATGAAAGTAGAGGTAAGAAGAACTCTTAATGTTATTCTGCGCATTTTAAAATACTATAGACATTCTTTACATAATTGGAATGTCTCCAAAACCTTCAAGTTTTAATTAGAATTTTTGTCTTAATGCCTAAGCTTCTTGTGAATTGTATTGTTTGGTTTCTTTTATTATCATTAATTACCAGACTGTGGTATTAAGATAGGAAAGGACTGGGGGGGTGACCCTGCAGTGTCATACAGGGAAGTGACCCACATGAAGTGTTAAGAGTGAAAACCTGGTGCAATCTGGAAAAAAATCTTTGTCAATCTGGATCAGACGTCAGGGAGTCTAAACATGTGGTTTATTCCCAATGTATTTAAGCCCAGGACAATATGATAGGGAGTTTCCTGGTGTAATCCAATCCTCCCCATTATACAAGGAAGCATAATTACATTTAAACTCAACTCAGGGTGCATGTCATTTCTTCCAAGATGATGGGTTCTAGAAATAGACTACCTGTACTAGCTTAAGTGCCTAGGGTTCTGGCCTGGACTCTGTCACACAGATAGTGTAGAGGTTATTTGGGCTGTTCGCCTCCTTTGGTCCTGGCTGTGGAGGATTGGGGGAGCTTCTGGCTGTAAAGGTCATTTAGATTACTAGCCACCTCTGGTCTTGGCTTAAGATATTGATAAGGCCTGGCCCAACAGATAATGCAGATATCTAGGGTATTCATCACTCCTAATTCTTAGTTTTCTGAATGGAAAGCAGGGTTTTCATCTTTCCCATTGAAAAGACAAACCCGTGTGCTTGACATTCCTGGTTTCTCTGGAGATCTGTGGGTACCAGGACCTTCATGCTATGCTCCCAATAAGAACTTTTTAAGGGCTGGGAAGACAGACAGCTGGTAAAGTATTTGCTTTACAAGCCTAAGGACCAGAGCTTGGGTCTCATCACCCAGGTGAAAGTTATGGCTGTGGCAGTACTGTGGAGATGTTGATAGGAGATCCTTTGTGGTCCCTAGGCAGCCTCTCTAGCCTAATTGTGAGCTCCCTTTCTCAGAGGAGGTGGATGCTGTCCTGAGGACAGTACTTGAGGTTGTCTTCTGCCTCTCAATAATGTTCACTTGTGCATATTCACTTCCCTTTCCACAAATATATAATACATATGTACATGCATAAAAATGAAGTATCCAAAATTGCCTTAATAATAAGGAAGTAATGCTAGAGACTGTCCTCATAGGAATTTGGAAATAAAATAAGGTTTATTAATATATCAGTGAGTCTTGTTTAAGTAAATATTTGTCGATACACCTGCCTCAAATCTTGCCTTTCAACCCCTGCCGCTCCCTCTCCCCCTCCATCACAAGTTAGAGTAGAATAATCTGAACATGGTTCAAGAATGAAGTTATGTGAGAATTCTGAATGCTTGTGAGACAACCCCCCAAAACAAAACAAAACAAAAGAAAACAAAAAAGCAAGTTCTGTGATACCAGTTTCTTCAGACCACACAGTTGTTCCTGGAATGTATTTTCATACTTCCCAGCTGTAGCAGATAGGAGTGAGTTTGCTTCAGATTATTCATTACACATGCCATTGCCTCTGTGGAAAACATGTTTTTGCCGCGTTTGGTTTGTCCTTGTGATTATACACTTCACTTATGTAACTCCTTTTCTCTCTTTTTTTTTTAAAAAAGATTTATTATAATATTTATGATGTTATGCCTGCATGTATGCCACTAGGCCAGAAGAGGGCACCAGATCTCATTACAGATGGTTGTGAGCCTCCATGTGGAAGAACAGCCAGTGCTCTTAAGCACTGAGCCATGTCTCCAGCCCCATGTAACTCTTCTTAAAGCACAGGGTATAAATTGTCAGATGCTTTGAATAAATCACCTCCATTCTCTCAGTCCCACTGCCTCTAGAGTGGTGACAGTGAATGAGCATAGTTTTTCTTCAAGAATACCAGAGAGCTATTCACATTGGAGTCCTTCCTTGACAACACTGGCATTTTAGTATTTCATTCAATTCCTTGTGTAGTTTTGTTTTTCAAACTCAAGAAGTAAAACTTACAATATTCTGGCTAATGGGTTTCCATTTTTTCCACAGATTCATCTGAAAACTACATTAAGACAAAGACTTTTGAAGGCTTCTGTGCATTACATCTTGCCGTGAGTCAAGGACATTGGAAAATCACACAGATTCTTTTGGAAGCTGGAGCAGATCCTAATGCAAGTACTTTAGAAGAAACCACACCATTGTTTTTAGGTAATGTATGCTATGTTTGATATAGGTGAACTTTTAAAAATATTTTCCTTAGTGAATTGTTATAGAACATTTCTTTTGATTCTGAAACTCAAAGGCTATTTTTAGAGATTTCTCTCTTGTTTTTCTACTCTTGGGTGATGATAGTATTCAGGACTTGAAAATGTTTATTTAAAACTGCAAAGTCCATTGTGAATTGGAGCTGCCCTGTTGCCCAGGGCAGTGCTGAAGACCAGTGATGCTGGAATTGGAGCAATCACTGCAAGGTTATTTGCTAAGGTCTTGTTTCTTTTTCCTTAGTATTCAAAGATTAATGTTATATGAAAGAAATCATTATTTGTTGCCTGTGAATCACGAGTCACACTTCTGCAGTATGGAACTGTTAATTCCTTAAGGACCATAGCCAAGTCCTACATTGTACACTGCTAATAATAACTTTTTTATTTTTATTCTCTCTTTCAGTTTGATTTTGTTGGGTTTTTAGGGGCATTTTTGATTGACTGGTTGACTTAGATTGACTGAGACATAAGGAAATTCACAGGATGTTTATTGAATTAGAATTAGTATACCTAGACTCTAGTTTTGGTCTTACCACATATAACTTGTATGACCACTTAATTATTTTATGCTTGTTGCTTCATTTATAAAATGAGAATGAGAATACACTGTGCATTGGTGGTGCACACCTAGGATAGGCTCCAAAGCTATATAGGGAAACTCTGTCTCGTAAAAGCCAGAGAGAGAGAGAGAGAGAGGGAGGGAGGGAGGGAGGGAGGGAGGAGGGGAAAGAGAATTGTATGTATCTAGATTGTGTAATTCACATGAGAATAAAATAAAATATTTGTGGAAGTACTTTTTTCTTTGTGAATGTGAAAATATTTGTTTAAAAACTTTATGTGGCATAAAATTCAGCTTTAAGGTGTATGTGTCTCTGTGTGTATGTGTGATAGGAAATGTCATTCTGTAAATATGTTTATCTTATTGGTTGATGAATAAAACACTGTGTCCAGTAGGGCAGCAAGATCGGCAGTTCTAGGAGGTGCAGAAGATTCTGGGAGGTGTAGACAGTTACCATCATAATGTGATTCCTGGGAAGAGAGGATGTGAATGGGGTGTTCTCTGGTAAAAGAAGATCATGTAGAAATACACAGATTAGTAGTTATGGGTTAATAATTAAGACAGAGCTAGCCAATAAGAAGCCCTAGTCATTGACCAACAGTATTATAATTAATTATAAGTCTCTGAGTGTTCTTTTGGGGCTGATGTGGTTGTGGGGCCAGGCTGGCAGGAAAGAGTTGTCGTAATGTGTGTGTGTGTGTGTTTGTATTTGTATGTGTGTATGCTCCCATGCATGTAAGATTCTGTGCTCTGTCACTCTCTTACATTATGCCCTTGACACTGATTTATCTTATTGAAACTTAATCCTTCTGTCTCTGTGTCCATAGCCCTGAGGTTATAGATGTATGGTCATGCTTGGGGTTTCATGTAGGTGCTGGGAGTTCGACTTCAGGGCCCTGTGCTTGTATAGAAAGCTCTCTTAGCTGCTGAGCCATCTCCTCAGTCCCAATTTCAAGAATTTGATAGTTAGACTACAAAATCATTCCATCATCCATAAATTCCATCTTTCAGTTGTGTTTTGTTTTCAGGATCTTCGTATGTAGTTCATGTTGTGACCTTGAACGGGAGGTGGTTTTCTGGCTTCAGCCTCCCAAGGGTTAGGATTAAAGGCATGTGGCTAACGTTCAAGCTTTGTGCTAATTTTAATTTTTCACCCCTAGATACTGATCTGCTCTCATTCCCCTAGTTCACTTTTCACAGAATGCCATGGATATATGAAACAATGTACTTAGTATAATGCTTTTGGAATTCATCTGTATTGTTGCAAGTATTGATGTTCTATCCCTTTTAATTAAAGGATAGTACTGTATTCCATTATATGGATTACCATTGTTTTCCCATTTGAATTGTTTCCAGTGTTTGATGAATATAAATCTGTTACAAATACTTGCATTCAGTTTTATGTGTATGATTATGTTTCCTTTGTTCTAGGTATGCTAAGTATATGCTCACATCTGGAGAACAATTTTGAGATTTTAGAAGCTACTCTACCACTTTCCATTCCTTTCATTAATAGTTTAGAGTTTTGGTTGCCTCATATCCTAAATATTTGCTATCTCTAACTTTTAAATTTAATTCATTCTTTGTAGGGTTTAGTGGTATCTAATTGTAGTTTTAATTTGCATTTTCTAATTATATTAGAAATTTGGTGATAGCATTTTCTCATGATTATTTATGGTTTCTGTTTCTGTAATTAGATGATGGAAATAATTAATTCCAGTAGGAAGGGTTCTCATATTTTCCATTCAGATTTGGTCTTTTAGTATTTTATGTAAACACTTTCTTTCTTTTCATTTTCCATATTATTATATTTATGTAAACCCTTTTGAGATTGCATTGTATTTCAGTGTAACCTATATTACTACTTTATGATGATCATATTCAGAAAGTTAATGTTGATAAAGCACAATTTGTTTATTTAATTTTAAAAATACTGTGTTTATGGGGTTTTGTGTTTATGTATGTCTTTGTACCATGTGCATGCCTAGAAACTGTGGAGTCCAGAAGGGGGCATCAGAACTGGTAGTACAGATGGGTGTGAGCTGCTTGCTATGCGGGTGCTAACACTTAATCCTGGTCCTCTGGAAGAGCAGACTGTGCTTTTAACCACTGAACCATCTCTTCATCCTCAAGTACTATTTTTTAATTTTCATACCTTTTTCAACTTTTAAAGTTGATTACCAGTGTTCTTTATAGTGAAAGAAAAAGTGCCAGTTGGTCTAACATCAGTTGTTAACATTCTTGTGTCATGTTTCTTTAGTTTCCTGTGATTCTGAACAGACAGTTGATCCAGCATCATCTGTGTTAACCTTTATGTGTCATTTCTCTTTAGCCTCCTCTGATTCTGAACACTTTTCAGTTTTCTGTGGCTTATATATTTTTTGGAGGAATGCTGTTTAGGGTCTTTTGTTCCATTTTCAAAGAAGTTATGCTCTTTTGGATGTTGTAGGACTTGTTCTGAATGCCTAGGTATTACTGAGTCTATTGTTAGAAGTTAGTAAGGATAAAAGCAGAAGATAAAGTGGATGTAGGTGGCTGACTAGAGAAATCAATGTAGTGATTTGTTGGGTGTGATTGTGACTGAACACAAGCCTAAATGCAGAGAGCCAGAGAGCTGATAACTGTGTGGAATGAGTTTGCCAAAATTTTGGACAGATTAATTTGCTTTTCCTTTATTTTTTATTTTTCCCAAAAGAGATGTCTTGTTCTAGCTCAGGCTGGCCTGGTCTGGGACTTACAATGTCAAGATAATGTGTCTCACGTTGAGCTTGAACTTTTGGCAGTTCTCTTGCCTCCGCCTTCAGAGTGCTGGGATTACAGACACATTCTACCATGCTTGGGTAAGGATGGAACATTTCAGTTTGATGGTAGGACTTTGCGACCCCCGGGAAGGGACCCCCGACCCGCGGGGGGTGAGGTGATGAGGGTCGCTACTAATTTAGTGGGCCTTCACGAGCAGATCCGATCTGGAAAGTGAACTACAAGAGGTTAATGGAATCAGGCTCAAGACAACGTTCGCTGATCAAGAGCCTTTATTTTTGGGGCGCGCTGGAACTTATAGAGGAAGGACCTCAGGGGGTGGTACAAGCATGTCAATCAAGTCTCATTTCAAATATACACCAAATACGGTAAAAACAAAGCTGTAATTTTCCATCAGTCATTAGTTGCATTCCACAAATGCTTGTCGGCGTAAGTCAGGTGCAGGAATTAGGGAGGGGTAGGAAGTATTTAACAGAACACTATAATCTTTTGTTTAACAAAGACAATTACTCTGTAAGGGTACTTCCCCCTGGCTAGGCGGGTGGGCTGCCCTGTGTAAATTTAACTTTTATGGTTAGCCTTTTCCTTTGTCTCAAGGGCATGTGTGCTCGCAGTCACGTAGGCAGAAGGCCAAGAAACGGTTGACAGACTCCATTTTGTTCAAGGTTCTAGCAGTCCCCAACATCTCCCCCTTTTCTATATAGTAAAAGAAGATAGCAGTTGGGTGAAGTGCCTGGCTTAGGTTACCTGGTGGGCTTCCAGCTCTGGACATGGCGAGAGAGGATACGAACCAAGCTTTTCCGGCAATGTTTAGAGAGCCATGTTTGCTCCCAGATTCTGGCACCAAGCTATCCCCGTCTTAAGCATCTCCACAGCCTGGAGCAGAGTGAACGCGGGCGGTTAGCCAGGTACTCAAACTCCTGAAAGCTCAAAGGTTGGAGTGTAGGTTTGTCTACAGCCTCAGGTTCTTCGGGGTCTTGTTGAGAGAACTGCTGATAGTGAACCTGAACTGAATTTTTGGTAGCCTCATCAACCTGATTTTTAACAAAACCAGTAAGGCGACGAAATGCCCAAGGACCAAAGGAAATAAGTAACATGAAGCCAATAAAGGGTTCTAACAAACTAGGCAGCAAAGTCGATAGCCAGGGGGGAGGTAGAGAACCAATTTTTGTACCAAGATTCACTTTGATCCAAATTTCTTTTTGTTTCTTCCAGACTCTGTTCAACTCTTCTGATACTATCTCTAACTAATCCTGATTTGTCTTTGAAAAAGCAACATTCCTCTTTAAGGGCGGCACAAACTCCCCCCTCCCGCAAAAAGGCGAGGTCGAGACTGCGGCGGTTTTGTTGTACCACTTCAGCTAAGGAACCAACAGTTTGTTCTAAGTAATCTAAACCTCTTTTTAGCTCATCTACGTCTCTAATAACAGTGTGGGTTAGAGCATTAACAGAGTCCTTTGTGTGGATTAGGGAGTAAATTCCTGTGCCAGCTCCTGCTGCACCCAGACCAACCAATATGGCTAATGTGAGGGCGGTGACCGGCTCTCTTTTTTGGCGAGAGAGAGTTACAGTTAGATCACTTTGGGGCAATAAATCAGATTCAGGGCAAACAGTCAATTTGGGCA